CTGTAAGTAAGGATAGGATAAAGGACTCTTTTCCCCAAACAAATTATAAAACTGATTTAAAATGTATTCAGAAGAGATTTTTTGGCGGCGTCTGTACGTACGTACGTATGTATCTCGCATAACTCAAAACGGAGTAGCTTCAGAACGTTGAAATTTTGTATATAGGACTTCTATAACATGTAGTTGTGCGCCTCTCTTTTTGGTTATAATCGGCCGCACCAAATGTGAATATCTGTTACTCGGCTCAGTGAGCTCATTTTTTTTTTTTTCATTCTTATATATTGGTAAATTGTGCATTTTTTTGTTTTAAAAAAGATTGAATTATACTGTTCTTATCTTCCGGTTAAGGTTTTTTATGCCTTAGTTAATTAGCATGCAACAGTTGTAGAATTATTAGGATATTTTAAAAATACAACACACAGCACAAATGGGATAATAAGAGCGGCAATGACAGGTAATTCTACCCGAGTTCTCATGAGCTGGCTGCATGGACGTCTTTTACCTTTTGGTTTTCACAATATGAAATCTTAATACGAGTCAACATCTTTTAGGAAATCCCCCCACAAAAGCATCCTTCGTTACAGGTAGATAAATCACTCGTGATTTGCCTTAATTTCCATCTATGTAACACAAACAACGAAACTATATAACACAAATACAGAAAAGTGGTGTATTAATCGATTATTTGCGTTTAACGTTTCTCGGTTTAACTTAAGGTTAGTAGCAGGATATCACAAGGGTTATGAATCAGCTATGTACGGCTTACTGTTTACATTATCGTTTAACTTCCGGTTAACAGTAGTATATTAACAGAGTTTTCAACCAACTAAATAACACAAGTAATGAAAACCGACGTCCGTACTTCGTGCAGATAGTTTGTATTTTAAACTCATGCTCATGTCTTCTACGTTTAAATTAATGAAACTTCCATATTTTTAGTTAATCGTGCAGTTGAGCTTTCTTTAGCAGGTGTAATACAAAATGAATAAAAGATGGCCAGTTTTGTTGCTATATATGTCGGTGACTCCAAAATGCTAAATGTGAAACTTGAACTGGCCCGTTATATTTGTTCCACATTTTACTTAATGTATTCAAAATTAAAATGTACGGTAAGGAGGCAAGAACTACTCAGCGAAAAATTTTAGAATTTTAGAGTAAAAGAAAAGACAGCCAAACTAATTATTGCAGAAAACTGCACCAAATAATGGGAAGGAAAAAAAAGAGTGAGAAGGAACGGAATGCTAACTCTTGCTATTCATAACAGTGTAGAAAATGATACTAAACAACTACTTTCCTTAACTTTCTCGTAAAAATTATTTTACGTACTATATTTTACATTTTTACCAAAAAAAAAAAAAAAAGCAGAAAAGCAAAAATAATTTCTTGAGTTAGCAGAATACCGAGCCCAATACAATATTTTAGCTCAGAATCGTACCTAGATATATTTTCAGCAGAAGCTAAATGTTCTCCTCTACATATCATCAAATTAAGTACATGTCTACGCTTTCATGTTCATTAAAGATAACTATTATAAATCATAATATACTAATACTTTTAAATGTACTTACAACACTTTTAAACGTACTTTTATGAGTTACAAAGTTAAAGTGACAAAGTTTATGAGTTACTTTTATGAGATAGATAATATGCACAGTAAAAGTTTAATTCATACAAAAAATACTACATTATCTTGTAGCAGTTGTGTATTTTTTTCGGGGGGGGAAGTAGTGAACGAAGCAAAGTAATCAATGATTTTTCAAAACATACTTAATTCATTAATGCATGTGCTATACAGACAATACCTACGTTTCAATATTCTTCTTGAGTAAGCAACGTTTTGCCCATTTTTTTATTGTTATAAATTATGTGTTTAATTTTTCTTCACTATTAGCTCCGGTAATTGGCAACATTAAAATTCTTTTTAGCTCTTTTCTTAATTTAGACGTACTTGAATTGCAACCATGAATTATTCCGAAAGATCTAAATTACAGCTATTTTAGCGTCAAGGATTTTTGAGACAGCGTGATTTTTTTAAAATTAGACATACGTAACAAAATTTCTGTAGCTTCATATCATTTGGATTGTAGGGTTTCTTTTATTTTACATAACAAATTATTTCAAGTTGTACCTTTCTTGAACCTCTCCTTTTTCCCTCTCATTTCCTCACCTAGGTGCAAATTTAAAGTTATATGAAGTGAGAATTTAAACGGACGAAATTTTGTAGTTTATTCAGAGCGTTATTTCGCTAGCCAGCGCACGCTACTAGTATGCGGAGTTTCAGATACGCCTTTTTGGCCATTTAATAAGTCATCGTCGAGTAGATTGTTGAGTCTGTTAGATTGTTGAGTTAAACTGTTAGTCCAGCACTACTCTTTGAAATTATTGAGTAACTATTCTTAAGTTCCACCGCAAGTCGTCGGTGTTATTGCAAGCACGAAGTGCGTGCATTTGTGTTAAGAGTTTGACGAATAATAAAGGGTTATTTTACAGTTCTTCTGTGCTGGTATTCTTTTATGCTTGTAAGAGAAGTAAGTCGCCGGGTTTCCTCGTAAGATCATTTTGACTGTATGTTAGCAAGGAAGGTCCAATCTTACAAGATATCTAAAAACTATGTTACAAGTTGCTTCATTCAAATTATCTAAATTTAACAGCGTTAGTTTTTTTTCAGCAGATAGAAAAAAAAATGAATAATAACTCGTTTAATTTTTCATATGCTCGTTTGTGTGAGAGATTAAAACGTCTAAGGCTTCTTTCACTTACACCATGAAAAAGCATTTCACTTAAATATCAGTTCTCTTATTAACGTAATTAGTTATCTTGGTTGCCTGATTTATAAATTTTCGGTTCTCTTCAAGCTCGTTTTTCTACATTTTTATCAAAGCTAAAGTTTCAAATTTCTCAAGAATATTTTTCTCTCATCAGCTGTGAAGAAAAATTAATCTCTCTGACGTATATATCACAAAGCACTACGAGAACTATCTGCCTAAGAAAAAGGATGCCTTTGGGGAGGACTTTCTAAGCAGAAAATTGATAATATGCTGGCTTCCAAAAGTTAAAAGGCGGCGGTAAAATCAACAAAATCGATAAGTAAAGCTTTGATTAACACAAAAATACAGATAAAGGTAGCAAATGTGTTTACGCATGAAAGAAAACAAGCATTATGTACAAAGATTAAAACAATATTTAATTTTCGTAAATTACGTAATGACGTCACATTTGGGTCACTAACATGTTGATGCTTAAAGCTGAAAAAAGAAAACAAAAATTACATTAATAAGATATTGACCACTCCGGATTTTCACAAACTTTACAATGGTTGCCCATGATTTCACTGATTCGAACAGTCATTGGAGATGCTAGCAATAGCTATTCCTTCATTAGGGCAGGTCCCGATCGGTGTCCAAGAGCGGATGGAGGAGGTAAACCTCCAGAAACAGCATGCCCAAGGGCATCCCAAAGGTCTTCAAAGAGATTAATTTCGGAGGATTACGGCAGCCACTCCTTACCAGAAATGCTCTTTCACTCTCCAGGTACTCGTTATCAGTGTTGGCTCGATGGAGGCAGATATTACCACCCATAAGGAAGAAATCAGGAACAAGCGCTGAGTAAGACTTTATTCCTATACTGTTCACTCATCACAGAGCCGTTTTTAAAGATAGGCATCTGGGTACAATAGCCCTTTGAAACTCCAACTCACACCATGATACTGCCACATTTGAATGCCACATTGAATGAGTGTTTGATGACGTCGTGAGCCTGATTTCTTGTGTCTCGTCCTCTCAAAACCCTTACACACTTATTACCTAATAGTACGTAAATCAGAACTCATTTGTGAACATAACGTAGCTTCAGTAGGAGACAAATGAACTGAGATGTTAACGACACCATTTAAATATTGCTTCTCTGGATTGGGTAGTAAACTTCTGTTAGTAACACACAAACACTTAGTACTCGGACGTATAAGCCTTCGTGTGAAGCTTTGGCACGCAATACTGGCTGATTCTTTCTTACCAAGTGAGGTGACAACCATGGATGCAACAGTTGCAAAATGCTCCCCTTAGTTGCTATAGAGATGTATCGAGTCTGGTTGCTATACAGATGTATCCCTCTTCTGAAGAAGAGATGGTAAATCTTGGTAAACCATGATTGGTTTGTTCGGAATTGTTTGAACGTCAAGATGTATTATTGAACGACCAACGCCAAAGAAAACAGCGACATCATTGATTGACTGACCTGCTTCAATGAATCCGACAAGCTAGTTTTCTCTGTGTGTCAATCGTCTTCTTTCAGCCATAGGAACATCAGAATTATCAGACATTATACTCGAGACGCTGGAGTTTTCAGCGGCCGCCTAACCTGCATATGTTCGAATAGTCAGTTGTAACTAGCTACAACATACAACATTTGCATACTACTGTCTGCATCCGAAGCTATTTTTAACCTCTAAATTTCAACAAGTTTTCAGAAATTGGGAATCTAAATTCCGTGCTTAATTTTGGAAGTCATTGCACTATTCTGCCGCAATTTTTCCTCTAAAGTAGTATTACTATATAATTACGTATTCTGCGTGAACGTAATTTTAATGGTTAAGAAAAATGAGTAATAAAGCTTTTACGAAGAAAACAACTTTTGCGAAAAATTATGACGTATTTTTAAGTTTTAAATTTTTATTAAAGGATCAAAAAATAACTACCTGTCAAGGATAAATTACAAATACATAATAAATACTTAAACACTAAAAGATATTCGGTATTATCCCAGCATGAAAAGTTTATCAAGGTAAATCTCATGAATCAAAAAGCGGAGAAAAGACAAAGCATTGAAAGCAAGCAGGAAAAATTTCATTTGAGATAATTCCAGAAGAACATCGTGAATGTTGCTTACAAAAGGAAGTACTGCCTGAACTGTAAATTTCGAAAGACTAATACATGTAACATGTTAAATTAAACGAAAGAATCTGTAAGCTTCTGAAAGTGATATTTATATACTTAGACAGACACTTACTTCGACAATACACATGCTCAAATTTAAGTGGTATAGAGAAGATTAGCATAATTCTTGTGCAAGGATGACACTTAATTTGATACGCATTTTAGAATTAATAGTAAAAGAACTAATTATTACATGTTACAATGTAAATCTTCGGCTAAGAACCCCAGTCCAAAGAACATCTGCCTTTTAAGGCTCATACAGATCAACAGTGAATTGAAGACACTATATCCTACGCCCTTTCGTCTAACATTTCGTCGGACACTTGGTAGCTGGGGAGGCACGAATCGTATTCTGTGAAGGGCACTTATTAACCTACTAACTGGAATATTAATTTTATAGCTACCAAAGATGCTTCGAGGAGAAGATGTGGATAACAAGTACTAAAAAAAGCTTGCTAAAGAATTAGGGTCACTAAGAGTTTTTTGACCATAAGAAAAAACTGCTTAGAATAAGCCTTAGATATAAGGCAGACAATATTGGTTCGGTTGAACTCAGCATCTGAATGTTAAACAAATTAAAATGCAAAGTTATTTTGGGCATTAAGGACTTAATATCCGAAGGTTTGTAACAGGTAAGATGATAGGATAGAAAATATGGATATCAGTCAATATGTGTGGGAGTTTCCTAGAAATTAGAGCGAGAAAAATGCCGTTTAGGGTTTGCAAACATTCATATATGTTTCCAGAATTTGAAACAAAAATTAAAAGGAATACCATATTCTCTATTGTAAAAAAGTACACATTTTACAAAAAAGAGATAAAATTTAGGAGTACGCCTTATACACGCGAAGGGTTTGAAATAAGCACGTACAAACATATAGCAACATAGCAGCGTGTATTCAACGATTAAGTATAAAATCCATTTTTGTGAACAATACAAGGATTGCATAAGTTTCGCTGTAGGTCTTGGTGATATGCTGTGGGATAACGGGTGCGAGCAATTATACTGGTAATGCAAACAACTACTCTAGTGGTACTGACAGTGACAGTGAATAAGAGATGCTAAGCACAGAAACATGTCCTTTTTGACCGACAATAAAAACTTTATTTCGTTAAATGGTAAATACTTCTTTCATTTTGGCTGCTTTTATAAATCCAAAACTAAAGAAAAAACACTGTAGATGGTAGTCAGGCTATCCGCAGCTTATCGTCGAGTTTTTTTTTTTTTTTTTTTTTTTTTTTTTTTTTTTTTTTTTTAATTAGAGGTAAAAATTAAGGGTGTGGCTTATACACACTAGAATACAGTAAGTGGCTTTGCTTTTGAAAGCTACTTACCGTATTCTAGCGTAAAGGTATTTATACTGCAATCAACTTTGGATACTGTAGCCCCCATATAAATAATACTAAGAAAACTGCCTTTGGTGGCGAAAGGCAGAAACAAAAAAATAAAATTGTCATGAGAGAATACAGTAGGCTCATCTTTCACAGAGTTCACTACATTTATTTATGAAGCAATTATTAATGAGCTTTCAGCATGTGTAATCACAAAGAATGTTTTCTTTACGATTTACTAAAAAGTTCAATTTATTGGCATCAAGTGTTTTATTTCCATATTTAAATAATGCATGCCTATCTGACATCTTTATTAACAGTTCTAACGAAGTATGTGCGCTTTTTCTGTAATTTTAATTTCGCGATTGGACATATTTCGCCTTATCCGTAAAGAAAATCAAGTTAACTTTCTAAAAACTTTAATCCTCCTATGCAGTTACTACAGAAATAAAACTTCAAGGACGAGTGGAACATGGATCTTTTTATACGTTATAGCAGTAAAGAGCAGTACAAGTTAAGCTATTGGTACACCTTCCGCAATCTGAGTTGACTTAAGACTCAGAAAAGGCTGGTCATCACTCCAGTTTCCAAAGTCCGGAGAAGGCTCGGACATTTGTAACTGTAGTTTGGGCATTTATAATAGTAGTTTATTGGATGAAGGGGGGTAATATAAAATTCGTAAATTTCAAGTTTAGCAGAGTGAAGAGATAGGTTTCTGGAAGACCTTTGGAGATTATATCGATACCTTTTTTTGCCAAAAGGTACGCCATCTCATTTCCCCAACGGCCACAATGTGATGGCATCCACTAGATAGCAACCTTTGTCTGAATTCTGCTCAACAGCTCCCTTCAGTTCTGAGCACGAGCACTTTGTTTTCCTAGGTTACTTGCTAAGGCCTGAAGTGCAGAACTTGAGTCCGATAAAATTACAGCCTTATTAAAAGGAGAAAGACGGGTAGAAAGCTGTTGAAGGGCTAAACGTATGGCCTCGACTTCACCGTCAGAATGGGTTGTATAAGAGCCAACATAAAGGTAAAAGGAAAACAGATCACAGAAGACGCCAGCACCAGCGCCTGGGTGAAATCCAAAAGGGAACCACCAGTGTAAATATGAAGCCATTCACCAGGAGGATAGCAAGTATTAATGGTTTCCAAAGCGATGGCACGAAAAAGCATTTGTGCATAGCTCGTTTTTCCTCACATTCAAAGTCAAGTCCAATCTGACATCAAGAACCATAAACTCCAGTGGATTAAGAATTCATAGGCTCGTGAGTTAACAATTCATAGGCCCGTGAGTTTCATAGGCCAATTCATAGGCCTTTTCGTTATTGGCATTATATTGAGCGTTCTCCTGGACGAATTGAATGAAGCCCTTCTGAAAATGCCCTTAATTATTTGTTCTACAGGTTAATTATTATCTTCATGACTTTTTAAATGTACTTTTGCGCTTTGAAGATATCTGTAACTCACTGTCATTCCTCTGCTTGTTTCTGCGTTTTGTAACATTTACACAACCAGCAAACAAATAATAACAGAAATTGCATTTCTAATGTTTTTAAACTATGCAATATAATTTACAAAGTTACAGCCAGTCCGTAAGCTAGAATCCGAAGCTCCGGTGGTCAAACGACAAATGCTGTACTAGCTCAATTAGCAAAGTTATTACCATTCCTCCAAAATCTCTTCTTAGCTATAGGCAATAAATTATTTATAATTATTAAAATTAAAAAAATATCCTTTCTTTTGCTTGATAAAGCATTTCACTTTTTTTATAAATCCCTTTTTCCAAACACTTACATTTTCCCATCCTTAATCCACAGGCAAGCTAAGCATTCTCAGACTAAAATAAGTTTATTCTAAAAGAAGTGAACTAACAAAATACCAAAATACTAAATGCATAATTAGAAAAAGAAATTTTCAAGAGCACATTTCAAGATTTTCCTTTAGTACGCATTTAAAAAAAAAAAAAAAAAAAAAAAAAAATTTTTTTTTTTTTACGAAATTCGTAAAAATTCTCATGTCTTTACAATGGTAAAAAATGCCAAAAACAAAAGAAATAAAACAGTAAAAATGAGACTTGAAGAGTCTTATGAGAGAAAAGAAAGTGAAAATCCTTTATATAAACCTCATATTAATTTTCTTATTTACTAATCAAAATATTGTAACTTTTAAATCCATATTTTGAAAAACTTGTATTTTTCAGGTTCGTGTTCCTTTTACTCAATATTGTGAAAGTTAAGAACTAAATTATTTATTGGCACATTTATTATGTTGTACTGTATACTTTAACACAGGGATTTGATGATATTTTTTTTTTAATTTAGAAGTCAAACAACAAGAATCAGCGTTATATTTTCAATTTTTCACAGGGACTAGTCTTGCGAAAATTTGAAAATATAACGCTGATTTTTGTTGTTTGACTTCTAAATTAATATTTGTTCGGCATGTGATTGTATCTTATTTTGAATATATGTTAAGAACTATTTATTTTAGGTAGTGAAATTCTACAAAAATTAAAAATTTAAAAGTGATTTTCAATAAAAAATTAATAAAATTTTTTTATTTAAAGTTAGAAAGAAAATGGCCTGTTAAAGTACTGTAAAAGTGGTATAAATTTTATAATGTTATCCTTTGCCGTTTCTGAGAAAAAGGTACATAAAATTGGTGAATTTAATATGGTGGAGATAGGGCTTTGTCGGTCCCCTTAAACAGATAGATGATTCAAAGTTTCACAAGGCTTGTCTATAGTATTTAAATTCTACAAAAGCTTAGAAATGTATTAAAGTTCTACATGTATCAATTTAAAATATTGAAGTAGATATAAAGTTAATAGTGCTACGTATGTTACACGATTCACTTTGAAATCAAGCTCTGAAAACTCATTATTAGCATGTGTTTATTTTTGCACCACTAGTCTTTCGCACTATTTTATGAAATACATTTACAGTATCGGTTTTAACAGATGGAAGGTGGTAAACTTGTTTACGAAACACAGCATATTTCTGCTATGAGCATGCGTTCTTTTACGACCTTATTTCCCACCTACGATTCCCTATCAGACTGAGTTTTCAGTATTGCGTTTTATGTAAAATGAGGTAGAAACCAATGTTTAAATCTCGATCATTTCACTATACGAGCTTAGAAGTTCTTAGTAGAGCGTGTTCTGCTTTCTGGCCTCGTTGTTTCATGCCTAATCTTAATACGTTCAAAAGCATTGCTACGTACCAGCTAGTATTCGCAGATGATCTTTAATAAGGGTCAATCCTGCTAGTTATTTCTGCGCAGCTTCGGCTGGTTTTAGTTTATTTAGCATTAGATTAGTTTCTTATTTTCTGTCTTAAGTTAAAACCCAAGTGGAGGTTAACTGTAAGCCCGACAGAAACCATCTGTTAAATATATTGAGTTGAATAAAAGGCTAACTTAACTCTTCTTTGGACTTTTTAGTGAAACATTAGAACTAACTGATTATCCGTTACACAATTTTAAAGAATTCTAGATGCCATGAGCTACAAATTTAGCTAGAACATTACTCTATCTTTGGTGGAAACTCTTGAACCTAACAACAATAGTACAACAGTGACAGCGACTAAATAAACACAGAAAAATTTCTTGAAGCATGAATAAATACTGAAAGCATGAATAATATTGAGCATCAGCTTTCTATGTCGACCCTCTCATGAGAAAATCAAAGATCTCGAGAGCAGAGGATGATCATCCTAAAAGCTTTTACTGGGTTATCTCCAAATTACAACTAAACAGTTGCTAACTCTTTAACACAAAATAAGGTATCAACGATATAAATATTATTTGCGAGAAATATAGTTGACTACTTACGGATATAGAATAACGAATTCATGTTAATTATGCAAGAAGGAAGCTGCAAACGGATGATGGTACAGATATAATATGAAATATAAAAGTTATGTTCACTAAAGATGGAGCCTGGCCAAAATAATCACCGCTTTGTTTCCAAGAAGCACTTAAAATGCAATGTGACCTATCAGTTATCAGTGAAGTAATGCACTGATTAGCCAACTCACAAGGCAAATCTAATATTTAAATATCGAAAGAAAATAACACTCTTTGTATAGCAATGAATTCACTAAAAATTATTTCACAGTTTTCAACGACTCTTTTCCTGTTGAGAGCAGAAAAAAGACCTCTTGGACAACAGACAGTTGCTTTGACTGATAAGGACATATATCTCTTCGTTTTTCACTGGTCCTTCTAGATCCTAGAAGATCAGGTGCCATTCCTAATGTAATTGCGTCTTCCAATATCTTAAAAAAATCTTCATTAAAAATTATTTCATAGTCTTTCAAAGACTCTTTTCCTGTTGAGAATAAAAAAAGAGATCTCTTTACTACAGCAGGGGTTGGTGAAGAGAGATTTCTCCTTTTCACAGTTTCGGGGGAGATGCAGTCAGTCTTTTATTTAACTGTTAAATATTTAGTTTTAATTTATGAAATATAAAAAATTACCTTTATTCAAACTTTGTTATTTACAATAAAAAATACTTTTATTTTATTCAAGTTTTGTTATTTACAATAAAAACTACTTTTATTCAAGTTTTGTTATTTACCATAAAAAAATTACTTTTATTCAAGTTTTGTTATTTACCAACATTGCCTATAGTTTTGTTGTTTAATTTATAAAAGGCATTAAAAATTAATCTAAATCTAAATGAATTCATATGTGTATTTCTCAAATTTTGAAAAGGAGGGGAAAATGCAATCTTCTAACAATGATGAAAGAGGTGCATGGGGCTAAAAAGGCTGCGAACCATTTGATTATAGACTGCTGACAACATATATCCCTTTGTTTTTCACTTTCACTTCTAGAAGATCAGGTACCATCAATAATGCAGTTGTGCCTCTCAACATCTTTAAAATATCTTCACTAAAATTATTTCATAGTTTTTCGAAGACTTTTCCTGTTGAGAACACAAAACAGACCTCTTAGACTACAGACAATTGCTTTGACTGTTGAGAAGATACTTCTCTTTGTTTTACAAGCTTCTCCTAAAGATAGACACCATTTTAATGTAGTTGCGCTTCTCAATACCTTTAAGAAATCTTAACTAAAAAGTATTTCCTAGTCTTTAAAAACTCTTTTTCTGTTGGGAACAGAAAGTAGACCTCTTGGTCTACCGACAGTTGCTTTGACTGCTGACAACATACATTCCTTTGTTTTTCATATATTCTCCTAGGAGATCAGGTGTCATTATTAAAGTAGTTGACCCTCTAATATACCTTTGAAAAATCCCCCATGACAGCTTGAAGAATTTATTACTACAGAAATGAATTCCCAGAATGAATTTTCCAGAATTGCATATGGGGAAACATAAAATATGAAAGTAATACAAAAACATCTGAAAGATTACCTTCGTAATTTTGTTCAGGAAAAATTAGATTTTAAACAAAATAAGAGAAGATATTATTTCAATGAATCATTCACTTTCATTTTTTTTCAGCAATAGGTAAATGAGTGAAATTTCACCTGCATTCCACAAGCTCAATAAATGCAATTTCAACAGCATTAAAATTATCTCAAAATCCTTGCGAAAACAAAAAAAAAAATGTTTCATAGCATATTGTAATTACAGCTCACCTTGGTTTTTCTATTTATAAATTGTAGTTCAAAGGCACAAAAAATTTGTATTACACAAATTATATTATCCAAAGTTTTAACTTATGGAACCGTGGTTTCCTGATTTCGGGAAGAGTTTCATGAATTTATCTTCCGTTTTAAATAAAAAAGTTTTCATTCCATGCAATTAATTTTCCGATGCATAAAACTTCAGGGAAAATTAAAATTGAATACATTTATTGGATTATGGCAAAGCACGCTAGCGTTACCTGCCTAAGAGAGATGCTTTTGTAGAGGACCTCTTAAGGAAAGAACTAGTTGAACTTAAAATAAAAATGAAAGCTTTCGTAATTAATATGTAAATAATAAAGAAATACTTTGTTTCTTTATTCATCAGAAAACAGTTTTTTTCGCATCTTTTCTTTCAAGCATTAGTTTCCATTTTATTCTGAAATAAGCTATTTATGCATTTTTCAGGAAAAAAAAAAAAAAAAAAAATTATGTTTTCACATATTCCTGATTATCCCAATTGATTTTTATTATAAGGTATTATTTAGTATTTCTTCCCTTCTTTCACCATCTACGTAGAAAAATGAAAAGTTAAAACTAACAGTTGCTAGACATAATAATGCATACAATGTTCGTTTACGCTTTCGATGTTAGAAATTTTCTTTAGTATTCATGTTTGAACTCATTTTAAAAAGGGCATTATTCAGAACTTTTCATTACGTTTTAATGAAACCATATTCCCTTTAATTAGCATTGTGAATATCGTGCATTTAGTAGTACTAAGTAAGAGCTGTATTCGGAATTTTACAACTACAAAAAATCTAAATGTAAAAATAAAAACATTATTCCGTTGAAATTAATAAATAGCATTAATAAAAAAACATTATTCCGTTGAAATTAATACACAGCATTTATAAACTTTGTACTTTTATATAAATATATATTATTAAAACTTTGTACTTACATTTATACGCTTAAAAATTTTGTTAACAATTTAAATAGAGAAACAGTTACTAATTCAATAATTCTTCTTAAAGAAGAATGTGAAAATAATTTGAAACGAAAATTTCAGCAGTAAATAATAAGTTAAATGTAAAATATTCATTAACTTAATTTATTCATTAACTTAGTTTAAAAAAAACTTTAGAAAAAGATATATCATTTAAAAATCAATAATGTATTTTCAGAATTTCTAACTATTTAAATTAATAGAATATATATTATTATTATTTAATTTTATAACGCAGCAAAAAAAAAAAAAAAAAAAAAAAAAAAAAAAAAAAAAAAAAAAAAAAAAAAAAAAAAAAAAAAAAAAAAAAAAAAAAACAAAACAAAAAAAAAAAAAAAAAAAAAAAAAAAAAAAAAAAAAAAAAAAAATTATTATTATTATTATTATTATTATTATTATTATTATTATTATTTTTATTTTTTTTTTTTTTGGTTCATATACAATCATCGATTTAAGTAAACAAACGTGATAAATGCCAATTTCAGAATTTTAAACCTGAAAATTTAGTAATAAACCACCAGTTTATTTTATCAAAATTTACAATTGGAAATTTAGTAGAATTTGAAGCTTTATTGAAGAAATACTGAGAATACTTAAATTGTAATAAATTAGTTTATATCGTGGCACACTTTATTAAATTTATAAACTCCTAAAATATTTAACAATTTAAAAAATAACAAGTACTTGCTGAGAAAATGAAACAACGAAATGAAAATTAAACTGTAACAAAAATAAAGCACTTTAAAAATATAATATAAAATAACTATATATTTAATTATATTTAAATACTTTATATGTCTTCACAATTTATTTATGAGCTCTTAAACTGATGGAACATTCTATTTCCCTTTAAAGCAAAACAACTTATGGTAATAGCCTACTTCTGTGACATAAGCAAAACAAAAACAAAACTCAAAAAGTTTTTCTGCCAACCACGTGGTCGAAAGTCCGATTCGCAGAGCTGAAACGGACGGGAGCTGTCATTCTAAGAACGACTTTCTAAGTCCAGATAATCGCTTTTGGTGGAATTACCAAACCTGCTGAAAAAGTCATCAAGCGACCGCCATTACTGTTAAACAACAACCCCGCTGTCTTCTTCATCACTAATTACTGACGCATGCACAGTTTAATTAAAATGCTCAAAGGTTTTCGTTTCTAAATGCATGCATTTCGATCACGATTTCTTGTCATACACACCGATAATTGATCGAACTATAAGGATAAAACTTCATAAACACTAATCGTTAGCAGTCAGACTTCTTAGATAGTAATTATAGAATAAAAAGTCAAACTTACCTCACGCGCAGTCGATGTAAATGAGCTGCCATCTTTGTCGGCCATGTTAGTCAGTCGGTGTCCAAAGGGTGACTCCGTCGCTAAGGGAAAACTCATCCGGTCGGGAGGGGTGGAGGTTGCGGATGCGGAAAAGAGGGTAAGAAAGGGCTAAAACATATGCGCTCTCCTCCAATAGCAACTGCCGGAGCCCTGTTGAAGGGGGTAAAGGGATTGAAAGTATTTTTGAAAATTTTACACGCTTTTACTAATTTTACAACCATACACTAAAAGGCAAATACTCGTAGATACGAGCTTATTGCGAGAACACAGGAATCCCACTAGACATCTTTGAGAAAAGTCAACCCTAATACCAAAAAATGATAATTAACATTTGTGCTTAATATTAAAAAAACTGATTAGTTAAAAGTAAATTTCGAAGATTAAGGGTAACCCCAGTTCCTTTTTACAACATTTTTCTATGGGGATTTGCAGTCAGACATGTTTTATTCTTCTATTTCTCTTTCTTTAAGAAGTAAAACAAGGTTTCCAATCTGAATGTTCCAGACTGCAAAACTTAGATTGTTGTCATGGTTCATGAGAAGCACTCCACCATAAGATAAATTAGATATTCTAAAATAAGACAATGTTACTTTAAAAGTGTTTTTACATAAAACACATAAATTTTCACGATATGATAAAAAATATTTGATTGCTTTGAATAACCAAGCTTTTTTTTAATTTTTCATACTTTTTAAAAATTTAGTCAGAATTTACACTAATTACCAAGGCACATAATGACCTAAATTCCTTATATAACTTTTTAATAACCTCTCAATTACATCTATCGTGACTTTCATCACAAAACTTGGAACCGCTAAACGAACCACAACCTAGAAATCTTGCCTTTCCAGACACTGGTATTAAGGCCTCATCCGAGCCAACTGACAAATCAACCAACAAGCTCAAATCAAATCCCATACAGAGGCTTTACCTTTATCGCACTGAAAAGATTTAACACTTTGATCATTTAACACTCCATCTCTTTCTCAAGTATGACCTAATGTTCTACTATAATTCCCATAAATATGGTTGTAGGCCAACATTGGTTACATTCACAAAGGTAATAATTTGACAATTAGCAAAGAAAAGAGCTGCCAGTTATAATGATTTATATTTAAGAATAATTATTGGAAAATTTATCAAAATCATTTCAAGGTCATAGGCATAATTGGCTAAATGGAATTTACTATGCAACATCAGTTGCTTTATTAAAAATTAATAAGATTTATAAAGTCTAATGAAGCATTTCCAAGCTGACTAATTAAAGTAACTGCATTCAATCCATTGGACAATTAAATCGAAACCAAAATTGAGGACCCATATTGCTGTCCGGAACAAGTTGGAAAGCTTACCGGTTTCTTGGAAATCCAAGGAGAAAGTGCCTCAGCACTTGTCAGTTGAAAGGAGGAGAAACCTTCACTTGCCACCCCGAGTTGGGGCCCGGGAAAATTCTGGGGACAAGACACTCCACGTGAAGAAACATAATAGAAAGAAAAAAGTCAAAGGTTACATAAAGAATAATGAAATGGAAGAAAGTGAACCGTTATTCCCCTTCTCCCCTCTGAAAGGGGCTTCATATAGGAAGCTTAAGAAAAGGAACCGTTCTTGACCTTGAAGCACTCTCACTGGGGCACGGAGCCATTCAAGGTTGAGCTTTAATCGATCCCACGCGTATTTCTTGTCATGTTTACGGAATCATCTTTATTTACCTAACTTGCTCTACTTTTTTGAGTGACTATGGAAGAACTAGGATGGCAGTGCAAACATAGAAAAATGTTTACTTCTCCCTTTCGTTAATCATCAAATTGTGTTTACTCTTAAAAAGAAAATCTGTAACCATAGAAACAGTTTTTAGGGGGGGGGAATTCCAAATCTTGTTTCCCTTCCTCCTATTTTCAAGATTTTAGTGTTCAGAACACTGGCAATGAAATTTTCCTTTAATAATGCAATAATTGAATATGGTTAAAAAACATGTTCACAGTTCAAAGAGATTTAAATATAAATGGACAGTTAGTGTTGTGTTACGCAAGTTTACTTGTATTGCCGTTTGATTCTGAGTCAAAAGGTAGATTATATTTAAATGAAGTTAACGATACTGTATTCGCGATAAATACTGCTAACTAGCGATAATTTTATGTATGACACATATTGATAGTTAAGGATACTGTATTTGGGGTATGTGTTGATGTTCGACATTTTGGTTTTGTCCATTGCTTATAATCATTGAATTTTTCGCTTTTCCTCTCACCTCAGATCTTCTAAAATTTGATGGACTGTTTTGAATTATGAATCACTCTTTATTTATTATTATTATTATTATTTAGTTTTCTTTATCGGTTATTAGCAATTCATCATTCTAGTTATCTTTGATTTTCACTCTCTCTCTCTCCATGAAAATATTATAAATATTAGAATCAAACATTTTCTCTTTTGTAGTTGTTAGAAAAATAATGAGAACTTCCACTATCAAATATTATAGAAATTGTTGAAGTGTTATACTTAAACAACATCATTTTTTATAATACAGAAATAAGAATTTTTTTTAATAAATTTCGCTTCTCGAAATTCCCGAAGCTTGCTTCTAAGAAGAGGATGAGAACAGATTTCAAATTAAACTGTGAAAGAAAAACGCAGTTGCTATAGTTGAACCAATATTTTTCGACTAGTGCTCGGTTTGTATCATGCGATTTGTCTATCTGTTGATCTAAGGACGAAAGGTTTTGCAATCTATTCGAAAATGCAAGATGCAAGATCCCATGTAAGATCCATATGGTACAAAATCTACATTCTTAAAATACGCACAGATTTGACTTGCCAGTTTGGGTTGCTGGACTTGGAACATTTTGTGGTTTGACGAGGCGCATTTTGTCCTAGACGAAGTAGTGAATACTCCGAATTGTCACATGAAGGATACTGCAAGTTCCAAATGACGTGCATAAACAAAGAGTCTTTGCTTTCTGGTTATGTCCGTGTATGAGCTGGTTTTATTGCTGAGCTCATTCTTGACCCCCTTTCCTTTCAGAAGAGCACTTCTCAACGTCTTAAACGGTGCACTGACACAAGTGTCTGTTACTGTAACTTCAGCAGCAGCAAATCATTCCTGTTTTACCAGATGTTTAGAGGCGAGATAACGTTATGCACGAGGGGAGAATGTTTAGAGACTAGTGTCTTGGTGCAAGATGATAGATAACCCCATATTAGTCGACAAGTGAAGTAAGTGCCCACTTTCAAGATAGGGCAATTTCGAGAAATAGATAGGGAAGAAGCATATGCATTCTGCCTGAATTGAAAGCATTTAGTACAACATGTAGTTGCAATGCCTAAAGTAACCCTTCGCTTTACTACATAAAATGCTATAACGCACGTCGAGAAAGAAATTGATGGAAATGAAAAGCATACTGAACAAATGCTATCATTAAATAATATTTTATGCTTCCCGTTTGTGTTTCTTATTCCTTATGCGCCCCATTTTTTCCTGACCGTCGACATTTGAAGTATTACTTTTTATTGTAAATTTCTTTTCCTCGTAGTCCATACATAGTATGTATCAAGTTTGAAGAGCTATGTCAGCTAGAACGGATAATACATAGTAGGGTAAATTTGATTAGAACCCCTCTGCATTGCCAGTATATAATGCATTCACCTCTAATAAATGCAATATTAGTTTTGTTCCACAAGTCATGAAAAATGTTTGGGCTTAAACTCTCAAAATGAAAGTGTTCACGACTATGTGTTTTCTATGGTTCACTTTTATTAAATCTGTTTAACATTTACTTATTTCCCTGGTACCATAGCCTGTCTTGTGGAGTTGTAGTAATGTCATAACGCAACACACATGACTTCAGTGAACCAACGATTGATATTTGCAGAGTGTGCTTACATGGTGTCTTTCGATCATGCCAACCAATATTTTAGAAATCTGGTTTTATTTTCTTACCTCAAAAAGAAACGGCCTTTAAATAGATTTAAGGTTCTTACCGTAATGCGAAGCTCTGCGCTAAAGATTGAGTGTGCCAAAAGTGTTTCTTTGCTTATTTTATTTTGTTGATTTTAATAAAATGAACGAATGTTAGTGTGCTTTTGATAAGTGCAAGTACATATGCTGTAGGGTTCCTCAGCTAATATATCATGCGTTCCTTTTGTATACGTTCCAGTCAAGCTGAAGTTCCTTTTACAAAAAACTACTATGCGCTCTGGCTGCTGACTAACCACGACTCTAATACAGTTCTAAATTCATCTTAGCAGCACTTAGCATTTATTTTATTGTAAGCTTTAGCTGACATTAGTAACATGAGTTTGGAGTTATGTTGAATGAAAATATTAAAGATTAGCAATTACTACGTTTTATATCAATGCATGGCCTTCTCCCATTTGTTCTTTTAAAACGTAGTTCATTGGAAAAAGTAGATTAATCAGAGGAACAGTTACGTAACTATATCTGGGAGCTCATAATTTTAAAATTAAAATAGAAATTTTTTGCAGAACTATTAAATTAATTTTAAATTATTATATAAAAATGTAAAATAATACTCGAGTAATTTTTTCCTTCCTCATTGCATTCAGAGAAGGAAAATGGATTTGTCCGTGTAGTGACCATTTTTGTTTTACTAACATAGACAAACCATCGGAAACTACCTGCAAAGGTCATGTCGAACCTTTCTTTCCTAACTATTGAACTTGAACTTCACACCGGGCTAATACAAGAACCAACCAATCATAGTAATGAAAACACATGCTGAGCTTTCATCTAGTATTTCCCTGAGTCAACAGAACATCAGCCCATTCATCTTCTCTAATTATTTATGGATGATTTGAAGCCTAAGGAGTAGTAGAAACGACAGTTAGAACGGGCGAGTTTCAATTTACAGGAAAGTAGAAATGTTGATATCTTATTAGGTATTCTAATGTTAATATTATTATGTAGTCTTATGTAAGTAGAATATTATGATAGTTACCTGTAGTTTATTCATGACTACTTTTCATTTGTTATGTTCTTACTGTAACCGTATCTCTCGTAAATTAAATTATTAGCATAATCTTCCTCTCACGATTTTCGGACCATAAAATTAATAAGGAGGAAATACAGTAAAAAAAGGAAGAGTAAACATCCCCTTTGATTTATAACATTCATTTCTCTTGCTATGCCTCTAGTCGCAAGAATTACATACAGTGCTTGTCGTCACAAATACCACCCGAATTTTCGTATTACCAATTAATAATCTGCAATGGAAACTATGAATAGGATATTTTTAATATATTTATAATCTACTTTGGCTTTTTCAGAAAGGGTACCATTTTTATCCTCACATGCTATAACAACAGTTGCATTTTCTTCGCATATACTCGTATTTATAATAATCTAAAACCTTAATTAAACAATTTATCTCAAAGTGCATACTTTTTTGTTAATTTGTACTGTATAGCTCATAATACTGACGCAAAGTGAAAACGTTTTATCTTTAAGTGCAATGAATTTTACAACATCATAATTTTCTATTTTTAACATTCAATAAATTATTATTTCATCTCTGCCTGCTAAGTCCTACCCACTACTGACTGAAATTTTTCGAGTGATTTGGTTTTGTTAATCTGGTTTTGTAATGAGGGCTAAAGGAAGGAAAACCTTCGTGAAAGAAATTCTAAAGGAAACTAGCTTGTATCCATGTTACACATGGAAAAAAACCCTTAAAACGCCTCGCAGCCAGCTCGGTAGGCTCAAATCGAACCCACGTCGAACATTTAGTGTTCAGCCACTTTTATCACTCGACAGTTAGTGGATTAAAACTGGCGAAGACTAATGGTAAATTGTCACGGGCTCAAACCTCTATGAGTGAGCTCGATGTATTATTGTTTTCAGGATTTTACTTACGCTTAACGTAAAAGTGAGTTAGTTTTCATAACAAAATGCAATAGGAACATATCTTTTCCTTCAATAACCGCCCTCTAGTACTTTGTTGTATTCAAATAAACGAAAACAAAAACCTATCATAAAGTTGTTTATGGTTTAAAAAGTTTTTTTTAGGAACTTATACTTCTGGTTTTTTACGCTGATTCAGTTCTTGTTTCTGTTTTTTTTTTACACTGATGCTTGTGATTTCCAGTAAGAGAGTAAGATTGTTGAGTAATGGTAGCTTTTCCTACGGTCGGCTCCCTGTATCGGGTTAACTGCAAAAAAAAATTTTCTGTGGGTAACATGAATATGAGGCACATTCTCTTAAAACGTTCTGTACGAAACGAGGTTCCTAAGTGCTTAATAAATATCGAAGCAATTTTTGATCATTCAAGGATGCCAGATAATATTTTTGATCGAGGAGCCCAGAGTTTTATCATTAATATAATTTAATATTACCTCACGTTTCATTTCTTCAAACATCTGCCATTACAGCTTGCTCCATCAATTTCACAAAACTTAATATACTAAGTTTTGCGAAACTACTAATATGTAGCTCGTGAATATTTTTTATAAATAAGGTCAGTTAATCGTTCTTAAAATTTCCTAGTAACATCAGATTTCCTTTCAAGAAATCAATTTATATCATT